GTCGACGTAATTTTCGCCTCCCGAGCTGGATGTCCGATCAAAATGTCACGCCACCTGTTGACAAATTAACCAGGAGCTGGGCCGCAGGCAATTCGACGCGCCGACGGTGACAAACAGATGAGCGTTTCCGCTTCCCAGATAGCGGTCACCCGCCTTCCACAATGGACCACCTACTACTGCAACTTCTACGGCTCGAGCTGCACGCACTGTGTCTAGTACTCCTCCTACTACGGCAGAAGCAGCAGCGGCAACGGCGTTGACGTCGGAGCTCTCTACCACACTTTCGGGCAGACAAGCCGACCGCCAGGATCAACGCCAAAGGTGCTAAGCTCGTAATCCGTCCGCTAACAACGTCCCCTATCCAATCAGGCGGTGGGATTCTACGGTCGCAGTGGGAACTAGATCCACCGACGATGACGGACGTTCAAAATCAGCGCCCCGCCGAGAGATCGCGCTTTGTCATTTGGAGACCTTTCGAAGTTCCCCGTAGTCCCCCGGATCAGTTCCGCGTTTTTTCCTGTTTTTGTGGGCGGGCCTTCAGCCGCAACGAGGAACTAACGCGTCACCTCAGGATCCATAGTGGGCTGAAACCATTCGCGTGCGACAAGTGCGGTCGGCGCTTCGGACGCAAAGACCACCGGGACAAACACCTCAAGACCCACATCGGCGATGACAGCAAGCGCGTGCATCGCTGCGTCGTACCCGAGTGTCCCGGGAGATATACGAGGAGCGACGCGCTCAGTCGTCACATGAAGAACCATCACGGAATTCAGAGGATCCTGAAAGGATCTCGCCTCATGAAACCGCAGTATGGCCCCGTAGTGCAGCGAACACGGGACTCGTCCAATCCACCCTTCCACGCTTCGAGATCGCATTACAACCCCAGCAGAGTGAATTATTGATGACGTATGACGATCAGTACTCAAGAGTACTCAAGAATCGAATGTACATATGAACGAGAGGGTGTATATGAGATCGACCTCTGCTCTCGGAAGTACGGTCTCGTGGAAGGAGGTCAGCCTAGCCCCCAAAATATGGGTTTCAGGAGCGACTTCAAAAGCTTCAGTTTAGGTGTTCACTGTTTGGTGCTACTTTCCCCACGAACGATCTAAGTACGCTCCCGGAACTGGTGCTGTGCTCGGGTGTACATGATCCGTGCGTGTCCTTGAGACTTTCCGTGGGCCGAAATGTGGTCGGGGGGCGGGGAGGGGGAATTATTTCAGCGAGCAGCACCGTGAGCTCCTTCGCGAGAAGGTAATCCTTGTAAATGGAATGGCGGGTGGGACTGCCTGTACATAGGGTCTCACATGCGTTTATCGCTCCGAGGAAGCTGAATAAACGCGTTTTCAAAAAAACAAAAATTTTCCCTCTCCCTTCCGTTGAGGGACTCTTCGATGGAAAATGATATTTTGTCCCCGAACGAGTCTCCATGGAAGAAGGGCCGATGTAGGGAGAAGTTGACTTTCCGGAGCTGTTTCGATCCAGCAGTTTCCCGTTGTCCAGATGATGAATGAGTGAGCTCGTCCATCTTGCGAACCCTCACCAAGTGTCACGGAATGGGCGTTGCCGGAGTGAGCTCGAACCATGACAGCATGATAATGTGAGCACGAGCTTGAGCTCTCTCGTGCCGAGCTTCAAGGCGCTTCTGGGGCGTAGGAAAGTACTGATTTAGCAGATCAGCGAAGTCGCCAAGCTCTCTATGTTTTTCTAATATATGCCCAGACGGTCCGTCTTCCTATTTGAAGCCGGGAAAGAGTGCAGGCGTGGCAACTCCTACATACACCGGCGGATTCGAATCACTCCTACTCCCAGACGGATTTCTCGGCGCCTATCAGGATGCCGAACTCTGCTGTACTGACATCAAGAATCATGATGTTTCGAAACCTCACTGAACACAAGTGATATCCTCGAGGCTGGAGCGCTCTAGGGGGAAGGGCATAAGCAAAACCAGACGTCTTGTTTGTAGGGCTGAATTACAGGGGCAGCCCACATTCAGGAAGTCTCAGCTTACCGAGCTAGCTTTCTTTCTTCGCCCTACCCTCCCGCAAGAGATTTCGCGGACGCTTCCTTCCGTCGGGCGGAAGGCCATGAGCGAAATTCTTCCCAGCGAAGAGCACCCCGGGCGGAACGCAGCTCGATGATCGGAAGGGCAATCGCCGAGAACCGCTGGATTCTCGGCGTCCTTGTCATCGGACTTCGAGACTTATTGCGGGGTCAAGAGGACCATGCTTCGGACGCTGCATGAGACTCCGAAGGTACCTCCGTGAAGACTGGAGAGCAACAGCTGGACGATTCCATCGGATTCGTATTCGTCGTTCGCTGCTGGGAAGTTTCATTCATAGAATTCGGACTCTTGAAGTTACACCTGAGCAGTATCGCCGTCTCCATGGGGGCGAACACGGAACCTAATCTCCGGGAGAGTTCGGATCAGCTTAATCAGTGGGAAGCGTTTTCTCAAAGGGGCCCATGAGTCGATGAGAGCCGGATTTCCGATGCAGATGATTCCGTTATTCAAGCGACGATCTCATCGAAACACCCCACAATCCGCTTTTCGAAACACTTTTCTTCAATGGGTACTTGACGATATATTCGCTCTCCGAACGACAATCAGGCGTCCGTGCCACCGGTAGAGCTCGACAACCCAACTTGAGCATTGTCTTCCTGCTGAAAATATCTCCGTGCCCATTTTTCCGAGCATGTTTGACTAACACGGCCTGATGGGGCGGATCCCGCCTCAATGATCGATAGAAGGGTGCGGATGCCATGAATTCACGGAAGATATAGACCTTACGCGCTCGTAGCTGGATGAAGAGACTGAAACCAACATCCATTCGAGTTCCGAGTCACAATCCCTACGATGTGGAAAAGCGTTGACGGCTCACAGAAAACTCCGAGGAACAAAGACTTCCAGATGGGACACTTTTTCGGCGGTGCGTCGGCCGCGCAGGAACGGAATAAATACACCAAAATCGACAAGAAGACCCTCGAAGTTGTCCGCAAGTTTCCGGACATGACCGCCGAGGGAAATCTTCGACATTTTCCCCGAGTCTTCTTCTCGGGCCATAAATTGTTGCGACGAGCTAAGCTTTCGCCGGATGCGAATTTGATCAGGGACAGCTCTGCACCACCGAGGTCGTTGGTATCGCCGAGCTCGAGACGAATAGAGGCCAAGGAGTAAGACGAGGTGTAGAATGATAGTCGAATGCAAATACAGTTTGCTTTCCAAACATTCGTTGAATGTTTATTAGGGCTCATCAGGTTTTCAGTCCGAGGTCTACCCAGGTGTGAATCTCATTGTACTCGTTAGCAACCAGCTGTAATCCTCATCTTCAAGCGACTCCCCGTCTACTATGAATTCGGCCCTCTTGGTACAGGTCCTCCGCCCGAGAGCCTTTTCGCCGGAATGGCATCCTGGCCCATCTCCCCCAGGTCTCGATTTTTTTATTCTAACCCAAATCACCTGAGCCGCGATTCGATACCAAGCCGTCTGGGTAACAATGACCGGTGTCTCAGGAGTCAGCACGCGGTATCAGCGGCCGGCCACCAAGCCCTCATACACTGACTACCTTCCGAAGTTTCTTGACGGGGAAAGGTACCACCGATTTCCATGAAGAATCACTGAACTCCGCCCTGGCAGCAGTCAGTGCCACGCCGAGTGCGGATCATCGAGGGTGATCGGCGGCAACACCTTCTTGTGAACTATAGTCGATTCCTTATCTCCAATTCCCACTTCGATTCCGAAATCAGAACTCGCTGCTCATCCTGCTTCAGAAGCGCTGGAGGACTCTCCCCTTGGAGTGCGAACTGGTTGTTTGTGGGGAACGACGCAGCGTCGTCGCAGCTACGGAAATTCGATTTTGCCGCGTGGCAGCACACGAGTTTTGAGGGGAAAGAGATCACGCAACAATCTGGTTCACGCAAAAACAGCGCCAAGCACTAATCGGGGACTCTATCCAATATCTGGAACGCATAGTTGAGGAAGAACGGAAGGAATCGTCATCGGAAGCTCGATGAAGCTCAGGGAGCTCCATTCGTCGGATACAAAGTCTCCTCCTTTTCTATAGTTTGCTTTCCCCGACGGGCGACTTCTTGTTACCTCTCTCGTAGAAAGCTCCCGTCGCATTAGAGGTTATCTTCTTAGACGTTCTTTTCTCAACGCCGCCCCTAGGTTTCCGAGCAGCTGGAAGTGTCTTTCCGCGTCGATCGTCTCACCGCTCTCTGGGAGCCCGTAGTGGATCACACCTCTACAACCCACCAAATGGAAAGGAGAACCTCATTGGAATGCAGCCTAGCTTCCGTAGCAGATCGGGTCGGGGCGCTAAGAGCTCTCCAGGTTCGGCTCCTGAGGTTTCTGCTACAGGTAATAATCCATCCCCCCCCCTGTCATGATACAGTCTCGGATCGATGCGACGGGCCTCCCTCCAATAGTGCGAGCAGTGCTTCCCTGTTAGTCTCCGGTGTTCTCCCGCATCGCGGTTCGTCTATCAGGATCGTGTTCCCCGAAGAGAATCTCCGGATTTTGAGTTTTTGCTTTAGTATCATCTCCGAACGCAACCCGCATGTTTCTGCGAGCTTCAACGGCTTTTCGACCCAGTTCGGACCCGAGCAGCAACGACCCCAGGAAGTGAGATACGTTTCTTAGGTCGATGATTTCAGCAAAGAAGTTTGGAAACCACCAGTGCGAAACCACCGAGCGGTGCCGCCCGACGCACTTATGATTAGAATAAATCAGAAGTCGAATGCGTATGTTTACCTCTCCTCGACAAATTCAATCGGGGTCGGCCTTGTCGACTCCCACCCGTCGCAAACTGTAAATACTTGTGACTCCCTCAGGTTCTGCTTTTTTATTTTTCGAGGAAAGACATTAAGATGAACACTAACATGAATGAGACCGATGCGGAGACTACAGTTTTGATGAGAACTTCTGAGTTGTTTTTCAAAAATATGAGATCATCCAATCAGGGAAGCTCGCTCGACGGAGGCTTTCCGTCCCTCCCCTCACCGCGTACATTGTAGACTGAAATCACTCCCGACGCTCCTTTGAGGATCGCATCATAATCAGGCAAAATTTCACACCAGAAGAATCGAAGCGAACTTTCGGTTCAGCTCCATCAATCCGTCGACAACACATTTTATCAGATCTTTTTGATTGCGCCGACTCCGGAAATGCGATTCTTCCTCATCGATTGCTAGTCCGTCGACGAGTTTCTTGAAACCCTCTTCATCGATACCGAGAAGTCCCATGTGATGATCGATGCTGCCCGTGACTGTCTTGAAGAAAAATTCCTCTGTGAACAAGAGTTATCCTTCACTCGACCGGTGATCTCTCTCCGGATCCAAGTTCAACCAGGAAAAGTCTTCTGCTATCGAGACGTGGAAAACCATAATCCTACCTGGGGAAATTATTAGATACGTGATTAGTATTTACCTGTGCCATCGACGCTCTTCGCCCGGAGCCACTGTATTTTCAAGGGTATCATGCATCGGATCGGATGAAATAGTGACAGTTGCAATCGACACTCAATATCGCCATTCTGTCGGAAAGCTGTGGGGATGCCGTAGACCACAGCATTGACCTCTTCCGGGCAACGGTGCACAGCTGAGCCTTCCATCGCCTCGAAGCTGGCTGGAAGGTTCCGAAGTTTCTTCGGGATATTCATCTCGAAGTAAAGTCGATCTCCTTCTTCATGCTCTTCGCTGACAACCGTAGATGAGAAAACTAGGAAACTAAGGCCAACCACGCGAGCGCGCCACATGCCTGGATTTGGCTCACGGCATGGGAGTCAGTGGCTCCGCGGTGCGAGCAATTCCATTTCACTTTAGCTTCGTATCGATGAAATAACAATCATCAATGACGTGGAGGACTTTAGGAGTCGTTATCGCGTTCGTAAAGCTCCGACCAGCATTTCCATTCACGGCGAATCTATGGCTGTGACTGCCTCTAGTCTCAGTGCCTTTTGCTAGAGTAACTGAATCGCTCCGGTGAATTATCGCCTAATAGAACTGATTCCTGATGAGGCTCTAAATTTCCTTATTGAAGGCCGGGGAGATCCTTACAATGGTGAAATCCCACCCGGCATGAACGAGCCGAAGTAAAGATCGTATAGGAGCTCCGGAATTCGTCGAAGGCTCTCGCTCGCCTCCATGCCGATCACGATTCCTTGAAGTCACCGGATATTCGCGGAGACCTTGGTGGAAAGGCCAAGGAGTCAGATTCCTGTCGGAGAGAACTTTCCGCCCTCCCTCAGAAGAAAATAAACGTATTTCATCTCGACCTCAGCAAGGGAATACTGTAAGGATGTCCCTCTGTCAGGACTTATTTTATTGCATCCATGGAGTACCTCGTCTCCGGGAGAGACGTGGCAGTTTTTTCGGGGTGGAATTGGGTGAATACGAGGAGCTTCCGGCAATGAATCATAGCTGCGCATGGCGGAGAATCATGACCTTGCTCTTGGAATAATCCTCTTCCCTTCCCTCCGCAAGCTCTCTCCTGTGCTTGAGAGTCTCACAGGGCACACCTCACAGATGGAGCATGGTCGCACGGTTGCCTACCCAGGATGAGGCAGCTCAACATAGTATTCAGATCATTCAATGCGCTTATAACGCACCTTCTGATGCTCTGCAATTCGAGGGCATGGGACGCATCGTCCACGACAATCTGTTCGATGAGATCTTCGAAGCCATCTTCTCTGATGCCCAAATTTTCGTGATAAACTACTCGTCCTCGAGCCATTTTGAAGAATATTTCATCTGCAAGGATGAGCCTTCGGGTGAATCGTTGTTTCGAAGATTTCATCCGGAGCATCTTCCCTTACGGAAGCTTGTTGTGACTAGCGAGTTCCAAAAGAAGCTGACGATCGGTACGCGCTTCCTTGAGAAGCGCCTGTGGCGCGTTGGGGGATAGGGGAGCGTTCCCAAATATTCAGCTCCTCTTCGATGCCTTAGCTCGTTTGATAGCTCGAGTTATGGGAGTGGAATGCCCGTGTACGAGGATATGAGGTCCCGTCCAGTTCTGAGTCCTGAGAGCGCGCTACGACGGTACTCGCGAACTGCTCGGAATGCGAGGAGCCCTACTCCGTCGGCGGCTTCCGTCGATGGAACCTCCGGAAAAAGCACTCGACTGTACCAGATATTGGGAAAGAATCAGAACGGGGAGCAAATTATCGGCGACAAGATCCAGGGTCGCTTCTCTTCTCGGCCGCGACGGTCAGACGGGACCACGAATACATTATTCTCCTTCATGAATCTCAGTCAGCTTCCGCGCCGGAATGAGTATGAGCCGAGAGGGAGAACTCGCTCTCAAGGCATAACTTTAGTTCATCAATCTCACGATGATGAGCAGCATGGGCGGAGCCCGAGGAACCCTGCTTTTAAAATTCATGGGAATCTTAGGGTTCCTGCGGTGAAGCTATGGAGGCGTTTTCTTTTACCTGAGCCCTCGTTTCCAATTCTCGCCCGGAGCCACTGAACTTTGAGGGGTATCTCGCACTCGGTGGAAATCGCGGTTGGACGGAGTTTGCACTCGACACTGCCGCTCATTTGGAACGCCGTCGAGATTCCGTAAACCGACCCAGAATCTCCAGAGCACCGATGAACGGGACCGCACTTCGATTCGAAGACTTTCGGCAAGAGCCGCAGTTTCTCAGATATGACTGTCTCGAAAAACTCCGGACCCGATGACTGCTCCGTTTCGACGGCAAAACCCACGTGGAAGCAGAAAACATTAATCAAAGTCTCGAGGGAGACGACCCACATTCTGCCGAGGGAGACAGGAACCGTCTTCTTGGAGCCGGCGCGGCGGTGCGGTCTAACGCGGAACAGAACATTGATAACTCATCAATTGTCGGCGGAATACGGACTTCGAAGCCTTTATCGCATTGTAAATCCTTCTTTGCGATCGAGCCTTAAGGTTACCCGGGGATTCCCCTCCTTATTCGTTTCCCTCGCCTCAGAAAATGCAAATGTCTAGCCTGATGGCAAATCGACGCTTCAGCTCGCGAATGTCGCTCGTTTCGAATGAGACGAATCCACCTCCGGAGGAATATACCAAGAGGAGGGTTTAATTCTATTCTGCAATCTACTCACGATCGGGAGGCAGCCGACGGAAGTCGATCTGACTTTTATTTTTCCTCTGTTTATTTCTCCTGATATACTTGAGTTAAAATAAATAATTGATACATTATACCGAATGTGAGTTTCATATCTACAGATCATTCATACAAGAATAAGATGAGTTTCTCTATAGCTATTTACAGATGACTACGAATCACGAAAGCCGCGTACGACGAATCTCACACCGGGCTCCCCATGAATCCCGACTCACACGGCTCGATTCCAGCCGGCTTTCTCCATGATCCAGCGCTGAGTTTTCTTGGGTGAGCATTTCTGAAGAGTCAGACCGTCAGGACTCGATTTCGACGGCAGATCCAAACACAGCCGACTCGATAGATGCATGATCGCCCCCGTCTGTGGAACAATTGAATCTATTAGGGCTCGGCGGAATGAGGGATGTTGATGAATACGACTGGGAGCTGGTGGAATATCAACTTGGGATATCTCGAACAGGCAACGGACCTTGACATCGAATCTCCACTTCTGCCGTTGAATCCCCTGGCAGGCAATCATCACGACATTGGTATCTTCGTAGCCCTCGGGCGAATCGAGACAAACCGATTCATCCGTCATCAGATATCCTTCTCCGGTCATTACGAAATACTGTCGCGCGTAATGAGTCACCGCACAATCTTCGAGCTTCACTTTCCCGATTGGTTGATGGTAACTTTTCGAAACGGGTCGGCCGAAGCATTTTTCCGCAGCTCGATTACGGATCTGTGCAGAAAACACGGTTTCGACGAGAGCTCCATCATTCGGCGAAATTGATGTCATGTCTCTGTTGCCATATCGAAGAAGCATCCAATGACCAGATATCGCTTACAAACCTTTCCGAAGAATCGATTCTCGCTGGGGAAGAAATTTTCTGGCCAAACGTTGGTCAAGTACCACGAGAATGGCTTGCAATGCAATCTGTCTCTTAAAGCTTTTCTTTTGGCGACATCCATTGTGGAGCGCAATTTCTTCGCTTCCGTGTTCATGTTGAAGTAGAATTCAGCCCAGTCGTCCATCCATACTTCGGCTACGCGAGCTAAATTAGAGAAGAGTATGCCTCCGACTCCTTTCGGGTGAGGGAAGGTGTACGGAGAGGAACGTCGAAAGACATGACCGACGTGCGAGCAAGGGACGATCTCGAGAGATCCGCCGCATTGCCATATCTGGAAAATTCAGCGCTCCGAAAGTCAATCAAAGCGCCTCGGGCGACTCCAGAGCCGTCACAGGAATAACTTATTACTATCGGGCAAGTATTCTTCAGAAATCCAGGAGACTCACCCGGAAGGACATTTCGACGTTTTCGCCGCCCCATATATCCATCTGCTCATCGTAAGCGCCCATCTCGTAGAAATATTCCTTGTCGATCGAGAATAAGCCTCCCGCCATCACAGGGGTTTTGAATGGTTCCGAGGGATCGCCATGTCGTTGTTTCAAGACGTGAGGACCGACCGGGTACCATCTATGGATTAGAAAAATGCTATTGCTCTGGTGGCTCCTCCGAGCACGACGCGGAGCAGATCGTCTATTTCATAATCAAGAAAAATGGATTCTCTTCAATCTTCTGGCGAGATGATTCACCTGAAATGCATTTCCCAGTTGATGGCACCCCAATGGAGCTCGAAGCTCTTGACGTAGGCGAAGGTGTCGTCGTGGATAATATCGATGATCGGACAAACGACTCGGGTTCTGAAAGTTTTAACGGTAAGCATTCGATTGCCGATGGCATTCTCGGGAGTCCGACGCCGGTTAATGATTTCCATTGTGGGATCATGTTGAGATTATCGCAGGAAATAGGGGCGAACCTGTCTTCTTTAATCCGTTGCAGGAGCGGTTCCAGCCAGCCGGTCGTGCATTCACAGTGCGCGTCCAGGAACGTCAAAACTTTTCCCTCAGCAGCTCGGGCTCCCATCAGTCGGGCTCTAATTAGTCCGCTGCGCTTCGGCGATCGAATGACTTTGATCGGAAAATTCAGTGAGCGCACGTAAGCGTCCAGGCTTCGTTTGAGAAACTCTGAAATTACATGAAGGAGAGCCGTGTTGATCAGACCTGTGCCCGCTCGACCGTCTCCCTACGAGTAAATGACCAGATGAGATCGTTTCCCACCTCTGTCACTCGCATCGTCTACCAGCATGATTTCCTTGACCAGATCACGCGGTGATCTGTTAATCACGGAGTGGACCGTACGCAGCAGCGTCGACCACGCTTCGTTATGGAACACTATGATCACTGAAGTGTCCGGTAAGTCGTAGGCGTAGCTGATGTTACGACACCTTGAATGATTGATGAAAGAAGTCGTGAACACTCAGTCGACGTATAGCCTTCATCGCGTCGTGATTCGTGACGAAGTCCTCTGGGAGACTCTCTCGGAACTTACACAGATTTTCTCGCGTCCGCTAGGGTCCTGTCTACTGAGATCTTGTCCGACACCAAGAGATTGAACCTAGAATTGAGAAAACTCACTTAGCGATGAAGTTCGTCCGGCAGCCGGTTCACTCCGCGGAAAAACCGCAATCCGATGCATCGCATGAGCTCTCTGAAGCAGTGATGGATAAGTGAACTTCTATCCCAATTACCTGTTGATAGAGTAGAGCATTTTCGATCGGACTACTTCTGATGGAAGCGGATAAACAGGCTGTCCCATGTTACCGGCACCTTCCAGAGGGTTATAGCTGTTCGCATTCAATACGGCTAGAAGAGGGAGAGATGAGCCTTGTTTAATGATTGATATATCTCTAACCATCGGAATTATTCCTTCCAATGAGCTAATTTGCTTCCGTTGGAGGTCTCAGAGGCTCGCTTACCTTCCGTGATGTTTTCCTTGGGGTCCCAAGGTAAGTCTTTCCCCATGTAATGCCCGACGATGACATGAATTCCTTTCTTGTCGATGTATTCCTTCTGGTGGTCGTCGTTGCGTAACCACTGGAGTTCATCTGGAGCGTTTGGTGCCGAGAACGACGACGGTCCGAATAAAAGTAGACAGGACATGAGTATTGACGCTCCGATGAGCGCCGGGAGTTTACGGGCTCTTCGGAACCATGAGCCTTTCAGGAAGAACATCACGAAGCTTCAGAACTCCCTCTCGTGGAGGAATCGGTTGAATCCACGCGGCGCCGAGCTAGCCCATAATGATCCTGGAACTTGAATTTTCGAAACCTTAATCGGGATATCGGAGGATGGCCATCGGGAAACTTAGCGGAGCTCTGATCGAAAATTCGCGATTATGAGCTATGGAAAAGTCACGGCGAACTCGCCGCGCTCAGCTCCCCGAGATCGAAAATCGATGTCATGATCCGACTGCTTGCGGGCCGAGGTATCATAAGCTTTCTCACGGTACAGGGAGCGGCCGAGCTTTGGGAGCGAAAACGAGTCCAATCATTGTCAACTTCCGATAAACCAATTGAGCTTGAGTCGATTTTCCGCCCAGCCTGATTTCCCCTAGTGTCGGAGCGTCAGGTTCGTACCGATGGCCCTCACTCAGGCAGAAGCGCGATGTTCGACTCCTTTCGCTACGATCGGGAGCCTGCTGGAAACGGAGACTGAGCGATCTTCGCGCGACTGACTAATCGGCGGACTCCAAATTGATCATCGATGTTTGTTTGGAACATTCGGTCCGCGAGTCCCTGTATCTCATTCGATCAACTACGAGAATCGGCAGCCAAAAATATTCGGCAAACAACTGTCAGAATGGGAGAAGCGCGACTTCTTAAGTCGAGCTTGTCCATCATCCCAGCGTCCAACGCACGACTTATCTGGCTGCCTACTGTGACAGGCAGATACTTCATTGCGGACACTCCCTTAACCAAGCCGTTTCCGAAGACTCTCAATCAGATCCGGCAAGCTTGATCCACCCCGGGGAAGTCAGAATAGCTTGGCTTGGCAGCGGAATGTGATTTTCGCGCATGGTTCGGTGGTCTGATAGAGCGAACAGGCCTGATCCCACGGCAGTAGCATCGATCTGCGCGCGTCAATCTCAAATTAATTGATATAATTATACCCTCGCTGGCGGGCCATGGTACCGATGACCCCTCCGTTCGTCGGGAGCATAGCCTCCTCGCACAACTCAGCGATAACGATTTCTGGAACCGACATTTTCCTCCCTGGGCTACTGAGCGAGGGCTGAAAATCGCTTCGGCGAAATCGAGGAAAGCGAACCTGACAAGATTCTGTTCCGATAGCCGCTCCAGAGCTTCATCATCGATGAACTGCTATTCCATCGCACTTGATCGATTGGCGAAGGGGGATGCGACTTTTTCGACTCGAACTGTTGTTTGTCAGAAAAAACGGATCCGTTCCTGGCTAGCAGCACACCATGACAGTCGTTCCGAATGCTTTGCTTTTCCACTCGCTTTCCATAAATCAAGCTGTCGGATGTAAACTGTGGGGGAGTTCCATTGAAGCACAGCGGTTGTTCCGTGACTTGCATGGATTCTGGAACTAGCCCTTCATGGCAACACATCATTGTAGTGACGCAAATTCAAATATCGAAGTTATCCAACGCTGAATGGATTCTGGCGGGTACTGTGCGAATCCTTCCCTCGAAATATTGTTGGCTTTAAAGGAGCGCTGTCCTCGGAAGATTCGAGCCTGATTCCAAGAGCAGCTCCAAAAAGCTTATAAACATGATAATGACAACCCTTGCCACTCGATGAAACGACGCTCCAAAATTACGGTGCTTGTTCCGCCATCCGATGAGCCTAATTCATGACCGAGTGTTCTACATAAGCTCTCCATCGCTCGTTTTCTATTCGTTCCCGGGGAAGCTGAATCACGCTCTTCGCAAGAAGGTTCATAAATAAAATTCTGGAATGACAATTCCACGGGTCATGGTGAGATGACTCCATGAAGATTGCCTCTCTTACCGGGATGTCGGGAGCGCCGGACGCGATGGCACTTTTCACTAAAACAAGCCCGGTGCTTGTCTGACACGACTCTCAGCATCAGAGATGTCGTGGAGATCAGATATCACTCCTGGCGATGAGCATCTACCATGTGCTGGCTCCAGGTCCTCGTGACTTCGGGCTAGCCGTCCAGTCAACATGGGAACTATCCTCCAACTTCTGACGGTGAAGGAACGTCCGAGCTTTGCTCCGCCTAATATTCGTCAGTGTGGGAAAGTCGAGCTTCAGGGCGCAGCTTTGTCGCATCATAACTTTTCTATTCATTTGAATAGACTTCCTTCCGAATCCCGTACAGTTCATCCCTTTTCAAGTCCATGAATGTTCACCGAGTGCCCAATCACCACTGCGAGAGCTCGCTCGACCGCTCACCACTGGAAGAAAATTACGGGGAAGCCGCGCTTGACTTTTTGAAAGGACTCTCCGAAACAACGCCGACAAAGCGCCGACATAGCGCCGGAACGGTGGCGTGGGATGTGATTCCCGCAGTGACACGGCTTGAAAAGTCTTATGAACTCCGCGGCTCCGTCGGCGGGTCGAGCTCGGGCAGCAAATGCGGGACTGGAGGATGTCGGAGTCCTCCAGAAGCGAGGTCGGATGAGGCTTTTTCATGGAACGCACTCTGATCCGTATGCAAAATGAGGCGAGCTCTTCCAGAGAGCTTAAGCCGCCACACCCGGATCAGGGGAACGAGGCATGTATGCCGACTGTCACAGTGCGACGCCGTGTGCGAGCCGTGTCTCGGATGCGTCGAGCTGTTTTTATTTGCACTCGGGGAATGATGAATGGCGGATTGACAGAATAATGCACAGCTGCCACAAGTTTGTTCGCCGTCACTCTTCCCTTCATTGGGCTTTTTTTCGGGGAAGAAAGGCACGTGCCGACCGGTGCCCTGAACTGACCCGATAGCCTTGCATCCGGTCCTCGGAGCGACGTCATTCTGACAGTCACTGACATTCACCAGAAAAATACGGCTCCGGAGCTCGATGTCGGAGCTGATCGCCGCGCTTCGTGGCTCGTGTTACTTATCCTGTTCTTCACGCTCATCGCTTGGGTTCTAGACGTTCTTATCAAAGCTCATGAAGACGAGTGTACCGCTCCTGTCGGGAATGGGGGTACGGCCGCATTGAACCCGAAGTTCTGAGGTGCGACCCTACGCAGATATCCACCGCACTTCGATTGATCTCCGATCGAGGCCTTGATGAATCGACTACGGCCCGAAAGTCGATGTGCGATGCGCCCCATCGATATTGTTCAGGCACGAAATCAGCGTTGCGCCGAGAACGAGGTAATCGGGTATGAATCTCGAGTTAGAGCATCATCAAGGTGAATTCACGAGTCTGCTCTCGAAAATCGTTTGATCAATCATCAAATTAGCGCATTTCATTTGAGTACGGGGATCAGATTCCGAGCCGAATTGAGTGATGAATTATCTAAACGCAGTTTGTCGTTCGAGCAAGAAGATTTTTTTGATCTGTGTTCGAGAAGTAATCCGAGTTTTTCAGCACGCGTGGCTTCAGACGCTCGTGGGACTCTTCGCGTGAGCGGAGACTTCGACGCGGCTTGAAGGGAAGTCTCCCTCCCCCACTCGAATTCACTGGATCATCCCACCGGTGATCACGTCGAATGCTGAGCGTGCAAGCCGATGTTCTCAGCGTGAGTGAGTCTGTAACGTTCAGAACTCGATAGCCACTTCATCTGACTGATTCGCTTTTTTCCGTCATCAACTCCTTCAGGGGCCGTGGATGCTATTCTGGCTGCCGCGGTATCAAAGCTCTGGATCTACTTTTGAAGAAAATGACTTTCGGAAGCGATTTTGAGCGCGCGATTCGGGAAAAAGCGCGCCTTCATCAGGGATTGAATCTTTCTGGTAATGCTCGTTCGGGGCAAGCCGGGCTTCCGCAAATGGGTTTCGGGGAGGAAGCTAGTCTGGAACCTTCCCAGCGCCGCCGACTCGTCCCGAAGTGCTCTTGATCTACGGAACCGAACCCGAGGGAAACGTTCCGAGATCCTAGAACCGTCCGACTTGCGAAACGATACCAGCGCTTTCTGCGATTTCTCTCTCGCTCGGTTGTCGTGGACCAATGCTGAAAAGGGCCCGAGGTTCACACGTCTACGCAGAGCTTCCTATGGCATTCGATTTCTCGTCAGAGCCCGAGAGACGATCACGCGCGAAAAGCAAGAAACCACGCCCGGAGCGTCTTGCCTTGAGTGAATTCGTACAATACGCCACGCGATGTCATCGCTGGGGTCACCTACATAAACGAGCTGGAATCATTTTGCAAAAGCAGCCTTCGGTCAGACACGAGATCTACCGTGGGGAAGGTCGCTACCCTTTCGGCGATCACAGAACTTCTTCAGCGGAACTTTAAGTCCGCGCTGGACGTCGCGATGCGGGCCCTGGCATTCGGTCATCGCACGGTCTTGGTGCTAACGTCGCTGATTCGACATCATGATGCAGAGCTAATCGCTTGTTGAGGAACTTGTCACAAAGGGATGTGGGCTACAGCGTCGACGGCAACAGTCACCCAAGACAAAGGGGTCTTTTGCCGCGGCTGCTGCCGTTCCCATTATCCAAGCTTACAGATAAGAAGACGGTCACGCTGTTCCTGTGCGACGGACAAAATCGCGAAAGGAAACTGAAGACAGTCGTGCGATGCTGCTGAGGCGCGGACAGGGAGTCTCGTTCACGCAGAAGTACAAGAGAAGCGAGATACCGCCGAAACAGGACGAAAAACTACACACAACAATCGTTTTATTAGAGGCGTACTTAGCACAGTGATTTTTCTCGTCGGCCGAATATCACATGTCACGCTCCCCGTTCGCTGCAAGTGGTGGGACGAGGGAGCTCCGAGAAAAATACTTGTTTGCCGAGACGAGCACCGCGAGGGTATCTGTTTGTCCGTAATTACGGTGAGAATTTTTTGGTTAGGAGCTGGCGCAGCACTGCTGATCGATTGCGCCAAGGGTCAACTCGGTTGATGTGTCCAGGTTTCGGAAGGATTATCGACACGTTGTCGGCTCGATTTTCACGGGGAGACGTATCCGACTCCATCAGTGCGACTTTACGACCAGCCTTTCACCGAACCTTCGAGGCGGAGGTAAATATATCTTATCGAGAATGCCAGCGACACGAAAACAGCGCGCTGAAGGCAGGCCACATATCCATTCAGCACCGAAACGGAAATATGGAAAGCGTGATCAAGGGAAGCGGAAGTTGTCAAGGGAAGCGAGGAATCGCC